ATCGACGAGGAAAATAAGTACTCGACAGACAATGGCGTACACACATAGCGAAAAAGCAAATACATTAGAATTCTAAATCAAACATTCAATTACAAAGACGAGCAAAGCCTACTTTTCAAAGATTACAAACCATGGCGCGCAGGCCAGGAAAAATCAAAGTACAAGATAAATGTGGCGCGTAGGCCAAACAACTAAACAAAAAAAGCTAAGTGTCTGCCTCCTCTTCAGGTCGGGTCTCTTCTTCAGCTTGATCACTGCTACCATCGAGCACAGCCGGAGCAACTACCTGGTCGTCGACCACCTGGTGATAAAGGTTGATCCCCTCGGTGACGAGCTGGAGCTCAGGGTTAACCACTTAAAGTTGCTGCACCACAGTGTTGAAACCCAGATCGAGGGTACTCAGGCAATCCTGCTTAAGCCCCCTGATCCGAGAAACTAGGTCACCCCAAGTCAACAAGAGTTTCTCTTCCTCCGTCTCATCCTCGGTGGGCATGGTAGCGGCCCCCAGCTCAGTAATCCTCGCTTGGAGTCAATCCTTCTCCTCGACGGCCTTTTCCATCTTCTATCGCATCTTGCCCATCCCGCGGTAAAGGTCTACTTGGATCTGGTACTTCTCCTTGTAGTTGAAAAATTCATTCTCCACCACGGTCTTCTCTGTTTCGAGAGTCATGAGCTCCGTCCGCAACTTCTTCAGCTTGGTAGAGGGGAAGGTCTCATCTTTGAGGACCAGGGCCGTCTCAAAAACCCTCATCACAGCGGCCATGTCCTTGCAAAAGGCCTTTTCCTGGTCGTTTTGTTGAAACCTATAATTGCTTTGGAATTTACCGCGGGCATGATCAGAGAGTTCTCCTCGCTGAAGAGCCCCCGATGGAGATGACAAGGAGGCAACATAAACCTTTCCCCGACAACGCCCTCTAGGAGGTCTACGGTCCCCGACTCTTCTATGCACCGCCTCTTCGACGAATGCTCTTGAGAAGATAGGGACTGGCTGCATTGGGGCGAAGAAGAAGAACCCCCGGGGTGCGGATCGGCCTTAGCCATCTGGTGGACCTGGGAGACGCGACCCTTGGGAGCCTTCTTGACACCCTTGTTCACCGCAAACTTGAGCATGTGTTCTTGAAGGTTCGACATCTAACCTGCAATAAAAATGAACGAGTCAATACAATAGGGAAGAATAAGAGGACACACAAGTAAGGAACATATTCACTACCTAAAAGCCTCAAGGCCTCCCTGTTAGAACCACATTCCAGAAGCGCCTTGGTATTAATCAAACGGGTCTAAAAAAAATATCCTTATTCTCGTCGCGGATGAAACTCCCATCTTTGTTCACTAACTTGGCGGGAGTGAAGCTGTTGACGAAAGCTACGATCTTGTCATAGGCGAGCCTGTCCTCCTCGTCTAGCTCGTTGGGCTTTGTGAGATAGCTTTTTGTCCCTCTCTTAAAGTGGTTCCTTTGTCACTCAAGGGGGAACTTCGCTTCCAAAGTCTCCAACCTCTGCCCTTCCACGAGCTTCACCATACGGTCAAACAAGGAATTGACGGCTGCGTGCGTTACAGGCTTCACAAGGAAATATCTGTCCTTGAAGGACCGGACAATCCAGATACGCTCTAAACAACTTCATTGGTTGCTTCAGGATACCCAGCTATGTCGTCCTTGATAAGTCTGCCGCTGAAGATGGAAGAGGCAGAAGAACATTAGAAGCGTGACACCGACGCAAAAATGTTGGAACATGAGCTCGAATGCCGCATGAACGCAATTGCATTAGGGTGAAGTTGTGAGGGCGCTAACTCCAGCCATTGAAATACCCCCACTTGAAAATCGTTGAAGGGAAGGTGGAGCCCCGCCTCTTGGAAAGCGACCTCATACATCAAGCGTTTTCCCGGGTGAGACAAGCAGATCTGATCCGTCTCCTTGGGTTTATAAACCCCACAGTTTGCGGATGCTCCTCCCCCCGGTCCTCGACAGTAACGAAAGCTTTCGAATTGTCGAAGACGAAGTGCTAAGCGACGTTCAAGATCTCCAGCCTGACCCAATCAGATGGGGATTCAGTGTGCGTGTCGTCCAGACTCTCTTCGACATCAACACTAGTGTATTCTATGGAGTCTACGTCGACCATGACGACATTCTCGGGCTTTAGAGCCATTTAACCTGAAAAGTAGAAGGAAACTGTGAATTCGACATCAAGATCAGATCCACCTTTCCACCGCAAATTGAGTGAAAGGGCGAAAGAAAAGCGCGAGGACACGCCCTCGACCAAAGTCCTCATCGACAAGAGCGTAGACATGAGGAACTTCTCCCCGACATAAGGCGTGAAGCTTGGTGCGCAGAGTGGGTCTCCTCGACAAAAAACTTCATACCATACCCGTCATGGGGAGTAGACCTCCTCGACGCGAGGTCTTTTTCTCGCCCTGCGGGGAGGCAACTCTCTCGACGTTAACCCAGCGAGGACGCTAAAAGCCTCATGGGGTGTTCGAGACCTTCATTAGAAACTTCATGAAGTTTTCCAGAATCTTCATGAGTCCCATGAAATATTCATCTGGAGCATTCACCGAAAACTTCATGAACCTCCCGAAAAATTCATCGGAAACTCAGGTCGTCGGAAAGTTCATAACATTACCAGAAAATGCGCAACTTCATCGCGAAGTCCTCAAGCGTTCGTAACTAGCTACTACTATGCTATCTAGAAAGGGAGAAGAAGACTTACGTGTTTGTAGGAAGTTCTGGAAAGTTGCGACGGCGTGGGAAGAACGACGGTGGCGGCAGCGGCGACGAAAGAGGAACGGAGAGAGCAGAGCGTTTGAGAATTCGCGCAAGTGTGAATAGTGAGAGCGTAACAAATGAGCTCATTCTCCTCCTAGTTATATTCTTTGGCACGCAGGTGAAACGTTTCCTAGGCACTCAAGCATCCCTACTTATAGCCATCAGAGGCATTTATTACTTCTGACATGTGGCTCAAGAAAACGCCACGCCTGTCTCTTCAATTCCCCGACGCACGGCTTGAGGAGATGACGTGTCCATCCCTTCTTTTTTCTTCACTCGTCAAAATCCGTCGCTCCGAACCTCCCCCGACATGCTCTACTCCCACGTCGTAGCATGGGCACGTTCCCAGGGATAAGTTTAAACGAGCTAGATCCAGCTCTCGCGAGCACACGTCCTTGAGATAATCGTGCTAAATTATGTCGTCGAGCACACGCAGACTTTGTGGGCAGCGACTCCAAGAAATGTCGCTCGTGATCACTCTGTCGAGCACGAGGAACAACCTACACGCTTCCTCGCGAGCTCACAGCCACATATCTAACAAATACTCTCCTCAAGTTAATTTCATTCGTTTGTCCTCGACATGCAAACTGACTCTAAGTCATTACCCCCTTAACTCGAAGCAACGACTTTTAGGGCTTTTGTTCTGGACTAGGCCAGGGGTTGACCCACCGTCAGACACAACCCAACCCAACTCCTCGACGGGGAGGGCCGAACAAAGGCCTAATCCATCATCCCGCACGGGGAATACTCCTCACGCGTTCTCCATGCGCTCTCCACGTGCTCCCCACGCGGGGATACGACATCAACCAACTACCCACTACTTTCGGACGAGGATTTTGCCCTCAAGAACATGTCCTCCACCTTTCAAAGTCCACGTGACAGTTGACACAGGACGAAGACCACATGCTGGTCTTCCCTACTCCACGTAGATCCTGACAGTTATTCGTGTTAGACCTAAAGATCCAACCCAGTGCAGATAACCGTTGGCCCAGCGCTGAGGGTTCATTATAAATACCCTCCCCTAGAAGAGGGTCAGGTATTCTAACTTATATCCACTTTTCTGTACTTACTCTCTCTTTGTTCCGTTTCTTACTTTGACATCGGAGTACCTTACAAGTACACCTCCCTCCTCTTCTTCACCACCGAAAAAATTTGGACTCACGACGTGTTACTGGCTGCCGATCTCCTTCTGATCCGATAAAATCAATTATATTTTTTAATTTATGTAAAATATTCAAAACGGAGAAAGTGTTTGCTAAGAGTAATTTATTTACTTGGGTTGCACAAGGGCTAGGAAAAATTGTAAATTCAAAAGAAAAAAGGATAATGAATAGGGTTGTTGATTATTTTTATAAAAATTTATATTAATTTATATTCTTATTAAAAACACATTAAAAGTAATTATCAGTGTTTTTTTAACACCAGTTTTTATTTTGCAAATAGAGAGATGATAATTAGAATTGTTTAAAAAACAAATAGGGAGATGATAATTAGAATTGTTTAAAAAATTTATGAACGGATGTTTGATTAGTGAACCAAACTATATTACACCGTTCCAAACTGATAACCGAACAAAAACTAAAAATTAAAAGTACTAAATACAAGTTTTAATTTTTATTATTTTTAAAATTTTAAAAATAGTTCAATAGTTCGATTTTTTAATAAGCGGTTCAGTTTGAAAAAATTATCTTCTAACGATTCAGTACAGTGTAAAATTTCTAAACGACATATCAAAACAATGATTTTGGTTCTAAGAAATTTGAAATAGTTCGGTTCTAAGTAATTTGAAACGGTTCGGTTCAATTCAAATAAATTTTTATTATGATTTGACTCAATTTCGTCCGATTTTATGAACAACCCTAAAGATAATAATAAGGAAAATGCTACTAATAATAATAATAACAATATTAATAATAGTATTGGGCACGTTTTAAAAAATAATTGAAAATTAAAGGAAAAAACTAGGCATGTGAATGACATAAAAGACCTACCGACAAACTAATTTCTCTATTTGGTTGTCAGTACATGGGAAGCAAGCACACACTCTAATCAGAAGAAAAACTGCATTTGTATGTCGATCTAGTATATTAATCAACTAATGATTGCATCCAATGATGCTATGAACAAACGTGGCGCTTCACAAAAAGATACTACTAAATATCATTCATTTAGGGTGAATTGCACAACACAGCAAAATTTTACTTGGGCTCAACTACAACCCCTTCATGGATTCCGCCAGTCAGTTTCCAGACCATCCATTGTCGCCAGCTTTCTTGGATCCAGTTCCCCAGCCAGAGTTTCCCTGCTCAGCATCACTTGTACCAGCACCCCAGCCACTTTTGTCACCACCACTAGCTCCACCTCCCCATCCACTTTTGTCACCACCACTAGCTCCACCTCCCCAGCCATTTTTGTCACCACCACTAGCTCCACCTCCCCAGCCACTTTTGTCACCACTAGCTCCACTTCCCCAGCCACTTTTGTCACCACCACTAGCTCCACCTCCCCGGCCACTTTTGTCACCACCACTAGCTCCGCCTCCCCAGCCACTGCTTCCACCCCAACCACCTGGAAATGCTTCTCTTCCAGGGGAATTTTGAACCTTAGCCCCTGGGAAGTTGCTTAAACTGTCATCCCCATCTTTCACGGCAGATCCCCATCTGGTTGCACCGGCACGCCTTTCATTGTTGGAGTTGTGTCCTCTACTACTATTGTTAAAAGAACCGCGACCACGCCCTCGTCCACCACCGTATGGACGAGGCAATCCACTAGGGTGTTCATCTCGATTCCCATTATTTCTGTAATCAGGTCGTCCTGTAAAAATAAAGAAAGAGAGTTAGTTTTGAATAAAAAGAACTGGAAAAATGACAGGCAGAAGCAATTAGTTGAATGATATGTGAACTGCAGACACAGAGAACAAGTAGATGTAGAACAAAATGCACAGAAGAAGAAACCAATCAACATGTTGATAACAGGAGGATTCATGATAACTTATTATATTTAATGTCAACGCAGGCGCAATACTAGCAGAAGAAATCCAAATAAAATAATTAGATTCACCTCAAACTAGAGCTGAATTTAAAATCTCATATACCTGTTCTGGAACCAGGAGTAGAAGACCGATCCCTATCATACGAGGGACCTCTCCAACCACCCTCGCTGTTTGAGCCACCCCAGCCACTACCCACAGATGCCCCTGATGAGCCACCAGTAGCAGGGCTTCGCATTGGCACCATTGCAGCTACTGATCTAATGGAAGGTGCTGAATCATTTTGTGGATCATCGATGTGCCTTTGAAAATATGCCACAAGCCGGTCAATATCCTCAAACATCTTTTTGCGGAACCTGAATCCTTTGGGGTAAAGACCAATGTACTCATGGTGTGGATTTGTACTTCTTATGTAAGTCAATACAAATGTGCCAGGATGTTCATGACAGATGCCAAAACTATAAACTATGCGCATTGGATTCTCTTCCTTTTCGGTCTTCAAAACTTCATCAACTTCTGTTTTCAAACCCGTCCTGAACTTGCGATAATTTAACATTGTTCTTAAATGAGTAACCAAGGGATCAACATATCGGTCCATAACCTAAGCAATAATGAATAGGAAAGAGTAAGTCATAGTGACACAATAAAGGTGTCCAGAAAGCCAGGTGGAATACCTTACCTCATCTAAATCCTCAAAAGTATCTTCTCCAATCTTAAGAGTCTTTCCGATTCGCAGTAAGCTTGTGATGTCCTTGAGTTCCTTCCCGCCCTCAATTATCTCCTTGTGGGCATATACTCCATCATGAATTTTAAGAGTCAAAGTAAGGTATGAAGGACCCTTAGAATTAGGACGGAAAATACTTTCACCAGGATCCTTGTCTGACAAGAACTGCATAAAGAGAGGTGAAGTTAAGCATGCACATAACCATTCATTATACACAAATTCAATTTGTCCTTTTTCCTTGTAACTACTGCATGCCCACTTAGAAGATAGTGTTTTAGAGATAAAATCACAGTATTGTATAAATGTTTTCACTGAATTTTGTTATTGTTATCATCTATATTAATTAATATATCAGTAGTAGTTCTCACATCAAGAACATAAACCAACTTTACGAACTAGAACTACGATGATTTATTCGAATCTATGACATCTAATTACAAAGATTCAACTTAAGAAAATTTGTTATTTCAGTCAATATTGCAGCTTACTCTTCAATAAAAGCAAAAAATAAGTGAAAGTAAATAAAAAAACTTTTCATAGAGCCAAACTAATATGTTACCAAAATTACCAATATGTTGTAAGTATCCAAAGAATAATAAATACAGCGATAGAAGAATCGATCCAATTAAGCCTAGGAGTCAATTATTAGGCAAAAAAAAGTTTTGGTAACCATAGATTCAGTGCTATCGTGTCCAACGGATTGCCATGTATATACGCAGAAGTAATAAAATATAGATTCTAGAAAATGGTCAATACAACTTGAAGTTACTAAAAAACAAACCTCAATTGCTTCATCGGTAGTAATATTCTGAAACCGTGGATGAACAATCATCCTAGGCTTGAAATGCTTCTTTGAACGCTCCCTTTCTTTCCGAATTTTGTCTTGCTCATTAGGCAAGGAACTCCGGTCTTCGTGGTAATATGGATCGAAGTTGTGGTTGTGATGTAACCGATCACTTCTCATTTCACTTTCTTTACAAACAAGGAAGACTTGATATCTGTTCTTTTGGATTGACTTAATCTTACAAGTGAGCATGTCACCTTCATGTAGCCTATCAGATAATTCAATTATATCTCTCAAGTCATCTGCATAGTCTTCTTTCATAAGAATTCCGGTCATTCCAGATTCAAGCCCGCATATTGCTCTTTGGGCTTGAACTCGGCGAACTGTAACCTGGACCATTTTACCTTCGGCGAGAGTCTCTTCAGTCTCACCTGAAATCATATAGAACTCCTCATCCTGACTTGGTTCTTCATATTGCTTACGCCAATCCTGAAAACCTTGAATCAATTCTCTTTTTATATCATACAAAGTTTCAATCTTGTCTTGACGATTATTGTCCTTAGCATATTCCTCAACAGCCAGATTTTTCAAATAACTAGGTCGATCTCTCACATGTTCTATGGCCATCTCTAGAGCATCATCGTCATCATTTGCATCCCCCGTGCCGTCTTCATCATAGACATCTTTGGCCAACTCTTGTGCAAGAATATAAGACTCAGGATGAATTCGTGTATCGTCCAGCAAATCAATAAATTGGCTGCTGCTAGCAGCCAATCCACTTCGCCTCACACGCAAGAAACCAACTGCGTTGACAAACACCTTTTTACCAAGCTCGTGTTCAGTCAAAAAGTCCTTCCGGGTATAAATTGAGCCGGCTCTAACTAGTGATCTTTGCAAGGATGCAGCCTTCCGTGGACCAAGCCCCGAAATAAATTGTAACGGAGCAAATAACCATTCATGACTTATTGCTAAATTTATGTCTAAGCCAGCCTGATTGGTCACGTCTACCATAATCTGCTCAACTATCCCAATTTTATCATCCGGGTTGAGAAAACTCTCCCAAGGAGTCAGTTTCCATGACAATATTTCCTTTCTGGGACCACATAATGTTGCAACCATTGCCAATGGGTTCTGGAGAAATCGACCAAGAGCAACAGCCCGCCTCACTATACCTGTCAAAGCAACAAAAATAGGATTAGTTATAGGATGCATCAGATGAAGGGCAGCATACACCTAACACAATATTTACCTAGCTGCTGCGAAGGAAGTTGTTCAGAGGAAATTTGAGAATTTTCGTAAAGCCGGGGCAGAGATTCATCTCCATACACAATACTGAGCCCGTCCATTTCATGCCCAACATCTCTAGGGTTTTCCTCGACCATCTTAAATATAACCTGATAGAAGAAAGTATAACCCACAGATGAGACCCACAATACAACAGCAGCAGAAGTCTTTCTCAATGGGGGGGGGGGCAAAAAGTAATCATAATTCTGACTGAGGACACCATGACCATGCCATTTTATAACAGACCATCACATGTTACCCAGCAAAAAGTAAACATGTACCAATTGTACTCATCAAATAAATTTATACCAATTCTTACTAACCCAAAATTTTTTAAAAAAATTCAATCCAAAAGTATATGTTGTCATGTGTGATGTTTCTGATATTGAAAAAGAGTGCTTAGGAATATTCAGGTTTGTTAAGTAAACCAAACTACTTATTAAGATAGATCAGAGGGCCATTTACCAAACTACTTATTAAGATAGATCAGAGGGCCATTTACCAAACTACTTATTAAGATAGATCAGAGGGCCATTTACCAAACTACTTATTAAGATAGATCAGAGGACCAAAATGGCGTGGGGATGAAAATGGGAATAGGAATATGATGGACAACTGATCAATATATGATCAAAATGGTAAGGTGATTGAAATTAGAATGGAAATAAGCATTCCTAATATTGTAGGTATGGGAATTGTATCACTAAATTTACCAAAATATAAATGTAAAATAGAAATCAGGATATAACCTCATATATATCTTCTTTCAAACGAGTGCAAGACAAGTTTGCTGCTCCTAAAACAACAACATGTGGTTGGTGATCTGTCATAAACTTCAGCACGCGTTCCTGGTCATTCTTCTTCCTTTGTTGGTCATTGACATTCTGCGACCTTAAAGTAAGCGACCCAGTGTATAGCACATCTTGCACTTCTCCCGATGAATCTAACATAACAAAAGTTGTTTGTGGCTTTCCAGGGCCCCAAGAGCAGGCCATAACCCTAGGAGCAGCCTCATCATCCGAGCTAAGATCACTTTCCTTTTGTTGATAAGGCCCCACAGAAACCTTACTCCACAAGGCCTTCCCATACTCCGTAAGTACCCAGTGCTTTGCTTTGCTGGCTAAGACGCCTCTTGCTTCTTTTTCCATTGATGGTAAAAGAAATCGAAAAATTGCATCATGCAGTATCAGCTTCCTCTGTTCATTCCACAGTTGAGCAGATCTGCTAACACTATCACTGATATAATACTCATTGAATTGGTCTATTAACTTATTAAGATTTTCTTCAGGAAGCTTAATAGTAACTTGAATGAGTTTATCTTCTTCTGCCTTCTGTATAAGGAGCCATTGGGCATCCTCAAATTTATGTAAAGGCTTCTCTCGCAGCCACTTCACCCCAGAAAACTGATGGAACGAATCTATGGTTACATTTCCATCGGCAGTTGGGGAGGTTGACACCACAGCATGGTCAATAAAGTGGTTACGAACATACTTCTTTATGCTAGGCTCACAACTTATCTCAACAGCTGCCTGGAACAAAAATAACCAAATAATCAAACAAAGGACACATTTTAATGATTATGAATAAAGTTACAGATGCATACCATGTGTCTAGCACATTTAAGAACTTCTTCAGGGGTATCGTACATGGCACATGTGAAGTTAGAAGCCACCTCTTCTGGTGTTTCCTTTGGATCTACGAACTCATGCTGTAGAAGAGGGCAGACAAAACAAAACATTTAGCTTATGTTTATGGTCAAAAACAAAGAGCAGTTCTAAATTCAAGCATACGTGCGTACCAGCTGAACTACAGATAGACATAATCCGATTTGCTCAGAACTAGACCCAAACCTGCTTGCAACCTCCCACAGACCTGCCTTACTGAAAGTGCTATACATTGACTTCCGTTTTGGCCTTTTGTACTTTCCTTCATCAACACCAGCTTCACCTGGTGGGAAATGCAAGTTGAACTTGGAGTCAACATCATCAACCTCCCTCTCTGATTCTGCCTCCTTCAATGATCTCATAACTGATTCAAACAATTGCCTATTCAAGTTTAGTCTTGTTTCATCGTACACACGACGAGACTCTTCTTCAAAACGTTTATTGTAGTATAATTGGAGGGCACTCTTCCGCTTCTGAAGAAGCAGCCACTTCCTGTCCAGGTCCTGTAGAGCCCAAAGTATCTAAAATAGCACAAGGAATCAATTTGAAGAGTTACTATCATGTTATCAGTATCAGACAATATATTAACAAAATAAAAGACAAAAAAAATTATGGCAGACCTTGTGCCATTTTAGAGTAGGTGTTTTGTTATTCTTATCATAATTATCATTATCAGCTTCAGGTCGCTTTAGGTCTTTCAATAAGCTTAAACACTCCTCCTTGCGATACATGGCAATAAAAGGAATCTAAAAGACAAAATTCCAAATTAGGAAAATAAGATTGATGTAAACTACATATGCAAATCTCAAGGAGCGAGGGTAATACTGACATCTAATTTTTGCACATGATGCAGTTCCAAAAATCTAACAATATCACCCTCGTCAATTGGTAGATCGTCAATTGGTAGATCATCCTTGACAACTGGTACAGCCTCGTTAATTGGTAGATCATCCTTGACAACTGGTACACCCTCCTTATCATCCTTTTTGGGGCCTAAATCTAACTTGGGAATCCAAGGGACTGCCCCACTTTTAATTTGATTAACTATCCACTGACTCTCTTCATTTATACTACTTCCATCAGGTGAAGGAGCACCAGTACTCTCCTCCGATATCTACAAGGGAAAAAAAACTCATCTTACAAGAATGCACCTAAATTAACTAGGAGTTATTTTTAATCTTATTCCACAGAAATCTTAGAAGACCTGCATTCTCTCAGGAATATCACAGTTCCTTATTCGGTCATCGTTCTCTGTCATATATTTCTCAGAGAGAACAATAGGCTCAAATTCATCTTCAAGCCTAGTCTCTTTGTAATCATCTGATCCTCGAGTACGACTGCGAGCCAAAAGCAACTCATCGACATCACCAAATAATTCTTGAGCTTCTTGTAAAGCTGAGGATGAGACTCCCGGTGCTGGCCTAGTCCTTCTTACACCCTTTGGCTTCTTAGTCCTACATAGAATTGCAATAACAAAACATTAAATCAAATATTAACATTCTAATTGATATAAAATAAAGCATGCACTAAATACCTCACAGGGGCTCCATTCTCATCAACTTCTTCTTCATCCACAATGAAGTCGGCCATTTCATCTTCTTCTCCGATGTCAGCGTCCTCCTCCTCTTCTCCTTGCTCCTCCTCTTCGGCAATGTCTTCAAGATGAGTTCCTGAAGATCGCGTTTATTTTTTGGTGTATTTTTCAGCATACCCAACAATGCATTTCAAAATAAATTTAATACTAATTTTGTTAAGGTAATTTTACACTAAAATATTGTGCTATACAATTCAAATCTTGTCCCTAAACTTGATTGTTTTCTGGCGAACAATTCAAATCCCATAACTTATTCTTCCAGAGTGATATATATACATATAATGCATACTAGGACGTACCCTCATCATCCCCAAATAAACTGCGTTTAAGCTTCTCCTCGGCAGTTCGCCCAACCTTACCACTTCCATAAAGCTCTTCTTCGTCAGATTGTCCAGATTGCCCCTCTTCATCCCTCTGGCCCTTTTTTAATCGCTTAAACTTTTTGCTTTCCTGATAAATTTAAGAACATTATTTTCAACAAAACATATATTAAGCAAAGTATTAGCAACCTAATATGCCAACATTAATTAAAAAATGAAAAATATATACAAGAGTTGAAAAACCTTCCGACGATGAATATTGATATTATTGTCCTCCAGCAACTCATAATCGTCTTCATCAAGGACATACTCCTCCCTAAAATAGCAAGAATAAATTCAAAAGAAAATTAAAATGATGATGGTGGCATCATGTATGGGTTACAATTTTAACTAAAAGTTACATATGAAAATACAAATCCAATTTTCTTCAATCACATGCCCATCTGCCCTCAGAGGGACGGGGAGAATAAGAACAAGGGCATACTCAAGACCTGTACATTTCTATCAACATACATGACATGGCTTTACAAATAGTAGGACAGAGATTTAGATGAGATAAAAATCACCACAAAAGTTTTAAAAGAAAAAAAAATAGCTATATGATGCAATAGAGATTACCAAATATGTATTCCATAGACAACTTATCTAGATTAATTACAAAAAACTATCGACATGTTATCGAGCATTGTCCTTTGTTGCCAAATATAATCAGATGCGGAAAGAACACATAAAGGATAAAGAATCAACTTTTTCTTCCTCTTTTTCTTCTTCTGCCGCTCTTCGTCACTGTCTGCTCTTTCTTCTTCATCCTGCTCATCATCTTCCTCAATTTCATCAACTATAAATCCATCCTTTTCATATTCATCCTGTCCTTCTGAAGTAAAGGGAAAAGAAAAAATTAACTAAGCACAATAAGATAGCATCAAATAAACCCCATGTAGAGATAATTCCATGCACATGACTAGCTCCACAGTCCACACAATAAGACCCCAGATAGAATAAAATCCATATAACAGCAAAAAAAAAAAAAATATATATATATATATATATATATATATATATATATATATATATATATATATATATATATATATATATATATATTAAGCAGTGGAAGCAGGAAACAAAAAGCTAAAGGAAGCAAACTCTTAACCAATTATCACATTGTAGTGTAATACGGACCAACCATCATCATGTGAACTATAACTCGAAATAAGCATCACAATTTCCACATGGAACTACCAAACAGCAACCTGCAGACTCATCGACTTCAGTTCCGGTTCATCTGAGTATTCCCCCCAGCACGGACACGACTCAGAAATACTATTCCAATTTAGTTTTTGTTTCTAAACTTACATCATCAATCTAACAAAAACAACTTTCCAGCACTAAAGATAAGCCTTATTTCATACCAACATCAAACAATGGCACATGAGAAAACCCTAATTTTCAAGCCCCAACATTCTAAAAAATACCCAAAACACCGCAGCCACTGAGAACAAAAATTAAGAGAAGAACCCAATAGAAATCATAAACAGCATACCCTCTTCTTCCTCATCATCCTCATCCATATCTCCACCTCCTTCTTCCAATTCTTCACCGTCAATGTGCTCTCTCTCGTCCATATCAAGCTCAACCTCATCTGAGCGCATTGAATAACCAAAATATTAGGGTTCCGATTAGTACCAATAAGCACTTAGAAGGAGAAAACATTACACTAAGAATGAAATAGGGGATTAGGGTTCACCTTCGTCGTCAGAAATTACGCCTTTGGCCATAATTGATGAGTGAGTGCAGCGAAATTCGGTGAAGGAATGAGAAATCGAACAAGTTTTGGAGCAGAGAATGAGAAATTGAAGTTTTGTAGTAGAGAACGGGAATCAGAAAAAGAGAAAAATGAATCAGAATTAGTACTAATCGAAGTTTTTGAGTTTCTTAATATACGAGTGGAAAAAAATTTGATCCAACAGGATTCAAGAATACGGTGTTGTGTTCTGTATTTTCATTTTGTAGTTTTATAATGTTTTTCTTTTCTTTTTTACCGTAATATATTCTACAAGGCCCAATAATATTATACGTGGTAAGTTACATCAGGTAAAAGTAACCTATTTTTTAATATAAAAATTAAATGTCAAACAAATAAAATTACTAAGTTAAAATAAAATGGATTTAATTGAAATGTTAATAGACTAAAAAAGTAGTTTCATTTTTATTTTAATAATTTATAAAGTAATATAAATGAATGATAGTAATAAATTGAGAGTGTAAAATTTTTTACACCGTCAATACATAATAATTATATAAAAAAATTTATTGTGTTTTCTGTATATCAAAAAATTAATTTTAAATTGATTGATTGAGTCAAGAATCAAAAGGATAACTAGTTCGAATTAATTATTGAATATATCATATAAATAAATCAATAAGAATTGGCATAAACATACTAAAACTAAACAAAATTTCATGGATGATGAAGTTTTGTAAATTTGAGAGAAATTAATATCTATTAACTTTCTTTCTTTTTTGTCTTTTCAGGGTTCCTTATTTGTTCTATCTTTCATCATTTTGTCCTTATGCGTGTGATCCAGTAGTTTCTCGTGACGTTGACAATTATAATAATTAGATATTTAATATAATAAACATCGAGCGGTATCTAACAACATATCATTATTATCCAAGTCACGAAAATGTCATGTGATTTAACAAAACTTTTTTGTGATAATATTATTGTGTACAGTTACTATTTCGCCCTCATGTTTATGTTGAGCACAGAGCATGGATTGTGCCGCTCTTGTCCAATTCAATATTGGGCTCTTAGACATTTATCGTATTATGCATAATGGACAAATTCCATCTAGGTAACTCATGCCCCTCAACATGATTTATGGGTACCTATAAACTATCTTTATAGTCATCCAATTACGGGCAACGTTTGATCAGGAATAAAATATTTGGCTCATACATCTAGGATTCCTGGTGGTTTCAGGTCAAAAGATGGTATACATCACTATCACCACCATGTGAATAACTTATGACATTCTGCATAACTTTTTATGTAGTATTCTCATAGCAAGTCAATCTAGTATAAATAGTACTCCTAATATTCATATCTATGTGAAGACTTAATAACTCTTTATCTGAGATGTGATCATCAGTTTATCCACATAGTAATCTCAATACTTTATATTATCTCACTTCATAATAAAGCTCGACTAAGAATACTTTAAGAATAATGTATTTATATTTAACGTGATCTCATCATTGAGTCACACTTAACATTTAATTAAACATACTAGCTATTCTAGGGACTTTATTATTATTTTTTAAATAAACTTATAAAAAAATATCTTTTACTATTAATAAATAATTTGATGCAAGTACTAGAACTATTGCCCTCAATGGCTTGAACCAACAATTTTCCACTATCATTAAAGCCAATCAGGCATGCCCTTATGCCCATAGATCTATTTTAGCCATCATTCTTTTACTGCACAAGAGGCTTTGTTAGTGGGTTAGTAACATTGTCAAGTGTTAGTACTATGAATTTAAACACATCTCATATATTTATCATCTATTGAATGAGGTGATATCTCCTATGCATGTGTTTGGATCGCTGGTGAGATCTAAGCTCTTTAGCCCGTGCAATGACACCATTTTTTATCACAATAGATATAAATGAGACCCACAATGCTAGGGATTATGCTAAGTTCACTGATGAACTTGTTGATCCAAACAAATTTCTTTGTTGCATTTGAGGCATCAATGTACTCAACCTCAGTTGTAGAATTAATGATTGTATCTTGTTTTGAATTTTTCCAACTCACAGCGCCACCGTTTAAGCAGAACACATAACCATATTGTGATAAAAAAAATCATCCTTATCTATCTAAAAGGTAGCATTGATGTATCCAATTACAGTGAGCTCTTCTTAACCTCCATATATTAATAATGAGTCATTAGGCCTTTTCAAGTACTTAAGAATAGATAGCTACCTAATGAGTATCGCCAGGTGTTATACCCCAAATTTTGACCCTAGATTTCATCATCATTCTAGGAGCACCATACATTGCATTGCTAACCCTAACCTTGTAGAACTCTTCTTTGTTTGGTTTCATATGAGAAATAGGGTTTTGAATCAAGAGAATCAAGAGGATCTTTATTTGATCAGTCAATGTCTTGGATTGATCATCAACACGCCAAGTATGAATACACTCAAGAGGCCTCTCTTCATCGAGAATCAAGTGCAAATTAATCTTGTTACAAGTTCATTGAAGTTCAATTTCCTCTGACCCCAAATTAGGGTTTTATTTGACAAGGTCGATCGTGCCTTTGACTTTTGATCAAAGCATGATCTCAAGCCTTGGGACATGATTCAAGATTCTCAAATACATCCTAGGAAACCCTCCATGATGTTCACAAGACTCAAGAGTTCAAAATCATTGAAGATCACACAATCAAATTCATCTGATGCACAAGCTTTTAACTGCAAAATCAACTATTTGACTTTTGAAATGTTTCTAAGTATGGAGAAAAATCCTAATTTTGTGTAAACTTTGAAAGATCACAACTTTCAATCTAGACCATAATTTTTTGTGTTCCAAAGATCAAATTGAAGCCCTTGCAACATACTACAACTTTGTCAATGAGGCTTAATCTCCAAAAAAAATGCATATATTTTGAGTTATAAGGCCATCAAGTTTGTGAAAAACTTCCAACACTTAGAAAAATTTCAAGACAATTTTTGTTCTCAAAAAGTACCAAACTTTGGAGCCAGTGTTCATTGTGATCCATTGAGAATAATAAAATTCATCAAACATGAAAGTTTTAGAGCATGTTTGAGGGTTTTCAAAAAGTACAAGAGTGCATCCATAACATTGTTTAGCTAGGAGTTTCGAAGAAGAGAAGTTGGCCTTAAAATCTGATTTTCAAGTTATGTTCTTGGCAAACCATGAGTGCAAATTCTAGCCAAAGTCATGAAATCTGGTTTTGCAGCCTATGTAACTTGTAAATCTTCCTCTATCAGAGAATTACACAAGTACTTGATGCGTTACACATTGATTTGAAGCATTATCCAAGCGATCACACAATTTTTGGAATGTTTTAATATTGCAATGATATTCCCATAAAGCACATTTAATCACAATGTCAACCCTCATTGAGCTCCACATTGTTTTATCTGCACAAAACCTTTTCTTTACATAGAAGAAAGATGTATGAAGTTTCCAACAACTCTAGAAAGTTTGCTACTGCGAAAAAAGGAGTCGGCGGAAGACAGAAGAGTCGCCATCGTTCGTTATTTATCCCAAATAGAGGGAAAGGAAACGATCAGAGAAAACCTACGAAAAAGGGAAAAGACAAGGTCATCACAACCAAACCTCAGGTTCGGGAGTCGGTTACGCAAGGGGAAGGTATGAGCAACATGAGGATGTGAGAATATGCTTGGGAAGCAAGCAACATAAGAAGAATCTCAACCAAATGCATCAAATTGATCATGCAAAAAGAAAGCACAAACAAATTCTCAAAGTGGCATCTCATTCAAGGAAAACTCAAAGTACAAACAAAGAGTACCAAATCACCTTGAATGAGTTCCAAAGTCCAAGGGACAGAAGTGAGAACAAGAGAAGAAGGTTCACAAACCAAAGAAGAAACAAAGCCAAGACAAGTTACAAAGTAGGGCAAGGTAAAGAACCAAAGTTTAAAACACTTTCAACATTCAAATGCAAATGGAAAGCCCTAATTAAAAGTAACTTGCAACATAAACCAAACAAATGTATGACCTATAAAGTTGAAACCAGCATCCTAAACATGTCAAGAATGTGAATCAAGAAGCATAGGATGCATATAAGATCCACAAAAGGTCATCTCTCAAAGGAACTAGGTCAACTAGTTTATATGAACTTCAACTAGGGTGACTTGACTTGCAAGGTTCACCAAAAATAGAATAATTATTCAATAAATCTCAAATAAAATACACAAAGCTCTTAAACATGTTGGCAAGCAGAGGCCTAAACATCCAAACCAAATTCTATTCAAGGCATCACCAAATGATTTGATCAACTAAGGTGTTCCACCTTATGGGATTATTATCGAGGGTCAAACAAAAGCAACACAAAGTCAATCAAAAGTAGGTCAAACCTGGACCAAAATCAGCCTCAAAGGCACCTGAATCCATCATAAAAGTGGAGAAGAAACCTCACTCATTGGTGATTACAAATGGTCCACAAAGCAAACATGAACAAAGAAGAACCATATTAAAAACACTTCTAATCACAAAATTCAAATTAAATTGAAAAATAAAAGAAAATCAAAATTAAAAATTATGAAAAATTAATTAAGACTTAAAAGTGTTTGAAAATATTTTTTGTTGAATTTTCTGATATTTGGAAGCATTTTTAATAATTAAAAAGTAAAACAGAAAATAAAATAAAGAAAATAAAATGCAAGACCAAGGGAGGTGCAATAAGCAATAGCAGAATACAAAGGATTCACGTTAAAACGCGCTTGGGCTGAACAAACTGGGGGGTGTGGATATCAGTTTTGGCCCAATCCACCCAGGCTTGTTTCACTAGTCAAAATGCATCATTTCATTAAACGGACGTGGCTTCAACGTGCCAAGTAGATCCAATCAATCCAATCGAAAGCAAACACATACACAATCAAACATTCAAACCCTTGCCACCTCAGATCTGAGGTCAAATGAACCAGGCGTCGGAGCCCTAACTTCGGTCGTCTTCTCTGGCGAGGTGGCCGGTGTAACGCCCATTTTAATTATTTTTAG